ACTAATGCCAATAAACATAAGAAAAAATGCTCAACATCTTAATGGTCAGGAAACGCAAATCAAACCACAAGGAGGTATCTCTTAACTCCAATGAGAGATGGCTTTCATCAAAAAGGTGCACACGGAGGTGCCCGGAGGAAGTTGGGAACCTGGTGCCACGTCTGGTACAGGCTCACCGTTGGCAGGCGATGGCAGTCTCTGGGCTGGTGTCCGCAGGTCTCTCCACCCGCTGGGGAGCCCACCAGCAGTCCGGAATGCAGGGGAGGGGAAACAGCAAATCCACGTACCCTTGCCGCTGGTCTCCGGGCTGCTCCGGTGGTCTCAGCCTCCAGTTCTCCTCCGCAGCCTCTTCCTGTGGAGTCTCCCCAGGTCTCAGGTACCCCTCCTTCCGGCCCTTGTCCGCTGTATGCTCGTCTTCTTGCTTCTTTCCTCTGGTTTCTGCTAGAATCTGTCTTTTCTGCAGAGACCCTCTGTCTGGCGGTGTTATTTGTCCGCCATCTTGCTCCGCTCCCAGTATGTCTTCTTTTGAAAAGTTTCTGTTCATGTCGTTTGTCTACTCTCTAATGGGATTGTTCAATTTTCTTTACTTTACTTTTTTTTCTTTTTGAATATTTTCCTGAGTTCTATGTAGATTCTAGTTATTAAGCCTTTATTGAATGTGTAGCATGTGAATATTTTTTCCCATTCTGTACGCTGTCAGTTTGCTCTCATGATAGTTTCCTTGGCTTGCAGAAGCTTTTGAATTTGATCAGGTCCCATTTATTTATTTTTGTAGTTGCTATGATTGCCTTTGGTGTTTCTTTATAAAATTTTTTTATTTCAGCATATTACAGGGGTACAAATATTTATGTTACATATATTGCCTTTGCCCCACGCGAGTCAGAGTTCTAAGCATGTCCGTCCCTCAGATGGTGCACGCTAAACAACACTAATTAGGTGTGTATATACCCATCTCCTCCTCCTCCCTCCATCTGCCCGACACGCCATGAATGTTACTACTACATGCGCACTTAAGTGTTGTTCAGTTGTTATCAATTTGGTGGTGAGTAAATGTGGTGCTTGTTTTTCCATTCTTGTGCTACTTCACTTAGTAGAATTGTCTCCAGCTCTACCCAGGAAAATACAAGAAGTGCTAGATCACCATTTTTTCCATAGGCCAACTGAAACAGAGTCCACACTTCTCATTTCTCACAAATACCAACTGATGGTGGATAACAGATTTCAACCTAAGGCATGAAACAATAAGTAAGAATTCTAGAGGAAAATGTCGCAAAATTGAATTCTCAATTCTTACCTTCTCTACGTCTCCCAGGCCCTCGGTGTCAAGCAGAACTAGGGTGTGGTCTGACTTACTGGGATGAGGTACACACCACATCCAGATTCCTTTGGTGTGAGATTGCACTGTGCAGCCCAGAGAGAAGCCTGCAAGGGTGAGTAGAGATAAGAGGGGGTAGAATTTCAATATCAGGCAGTTTAGGAAATGCAAATGAAAGTTGGTGTAATCAAAGTTAGGAACCATAACCTATACCACAACCTGCGTTGATCTTATTTGGAATCAGAGAATTAGAGAAAGTAGATGAAAAAAATTCAATAGTTTCATGAAAGAAACAATCAACAAACAAGCAATATAAGGAACTTATATCAACATAATAAAGGCCATATATGAAAAAGCACAGCCATCATCATACTCAACGGTGAAAGACTGAAAGCTTTTCCTCTAAGATTAGGAACCAGAGAAGGATGCCCACTTTTGCCACTTGTGTTCAACATGGCGTTGGGAGTCGTATCCAGTTAACCAGGCAGGAAGAGCTAATAGAAGGCATTCAAAGTATAAAGGAAGGATTAAAATGATCTGCTCACAGATGACATGATCTTATGGGTAGAAAACCTTAAATATTACACAAAGGAATTATTGGAACTAATAAAAGATTCAGCAAAGTTGTAGTGTATAAAATCAACATGCAAAAATCAGTTGTACTTCTATATATTAACAATGGACAATCTGAAAATAAATTAAGAAGAAGGTTATATTAACAAGAGCATCAAAAGAATAAACTACTCATCAATAAACTTAAACAAGGAAGTAAAAGACATATAGTGAAAATGATAAGATAGTGTTGAAAGAAATTAAAGAAACAAATAATTAGAGAGACATCCCGAGTTGATGGCTTGGACAACTTAATATTTTTGAGATGTCACTACTACCAAAGTGATACACAGATTCAGTGCAATTCCTATCAAATTCCAAATTACAGTTTTGTAGAAATACAAAAATCCACCCTAAATTTGATATGAAATCTCATCATACGTACAAAGAGATCTCCAAAGTGTAAAAAGACTCTTGAAAAGGAAAAATAAAGCTGAAGTCTCACACTTTCTGAGTCTGAAACTTACTGTTAATACTAAGTAATTAAAACTGTGGTGCTGGCTTAAAGTCTGACATAGAGACCAATGGAAGAGAATAGAGACCCTAGAAATAAACTTTTACATATATGGCCAAATGACTCTCAAAAGGGTCCCAAATCATTCAATGATGAAAGGAGAGTCTCTTCAACAAATGATGTTAGGAAAACAGGATGTCCATGTGCAAAAAAGAAGAAGAAAAAGGATGGTTACCTTACACTGTTGGACCATAAAAAATTATGTCAAAATAGATCAAACACCTAATGTTAGACCTAAAACCATAAAATTCATAGACAAAAACATAGGGGAAGAGCTTTGTAAATTGAATTTCTCAATAATTTCTTGGATATGACACCAAAACCATAGACAACACAAGCACAAATACCTAACTTTGTCTTCATGAAAATTAAAAACTTTTGTATATTGAATGATACTATCAACAGAGTGAAAAAGCAACACAGGGAATGGGAATAAATATTTGCTAGTAATGTGTCTGAGGTGGGATTGATATTCATGATATATAAAGAATTCCTACAATGAAACACAAACAAAAAAACTAAATAAAACAGATTACATAACGAGTAAATGACTGGCATAGACATTTTTCCAAGGAAGATATATACATTGCCAAAAGTACAAGAAAAGATGCTCAACATCACAAGTCATTAGGAAAATGCAGCTAAAAAAAAAAAACCACACTGAGATTCTACTTCACAACCATTAGGATGGCCACTACCAAAAAATCAAGCATTGGAGAGGATGTGGAGGACTAGATCTCTTGTCCATTTCTGGTGGGACTTTAAAATGATACGTCACAGTGGAAAACACTATAGTGATTACTTAAAGTACTTAAATATAGAATGACCGTATGACACAGCAATGCCACTTCTGGGTATAAACGCAAGAGATGGGAAAGCAGGGACTCAGAAATTTGTATATCCATGTTCATTTCCGAAGTATTTGTAATAGTCAAAACGGAGAAGTAACCCAAGTGTCCATCAGCACAGGAACAGATAAACAAGTTGATATATACAAGCAATTATTCACCTTTAAAAAGGAAGAGAGTTTTGAGACATGCTACAACATTGCTAAAACTTTGAGACAGTATGCAAGTCAAAATAAGCCAGGCACAAAATGACAAATACTGTATGATTCCGCTTATAATAGGCTCCCATAGCAATCAAATTCAGAGTCCAGAGTGCTAACCATTAAGCAATGTAACAGTAGTCGAATTCACAGAAACAGAACGTAGAATGGTGGTGGGAAAGGGGTGAATGTGGAGTTTTTGTTTAATGGGTACAAAGTTTCTGTTGGGGAAGATGAAAAAGTTCTGGAGATGAATCGTGGTGATGGCTGCATAAGAATGTGAATTACTTGAACCCACAGATGGTACTGTTAAAAGTTGTTAGAAGGGTTTTAGGGAAAGGTGGTATGTTCCTATAATCCCAGGTTCTTGGGAGATTCTCTTGAGTACAGGAATTTGTGACCAGCCTGAGCAACATAGGGAGACCTTATCCCTATAAAATGATTATAATGGTAAATTTTGTGTTATGTATATTTTAGAATAAAAAAGAATATCCACTATAGAGTGAAACATTTTTCTAACCTTAGTGATCAGTGGAAACTTGCTGTCATTATGTGAACATCGTAATAAATGTGTTATACTTCATTACAGTTCATTATGTCCATTAATTATTACCAGCTTACTCCTAGGAAAGGAATGATATTTGCTTTTAAAAAAGGAAACTAAGGTACTACAGTAATAGGGTATTGGGCAAGTGGGAAGGGGGAGGGGGTGGGTATATACGTACATAATGAGTGAGATGTGCACCATCTGAGGGATGGTCATGTGGAAACTCAGACATGTGAGGTAAGGGGGGAAAAGGCATTTATTGAAACCTTAAAATCTGTACCCCCATAATATGCCGAAATAAAAAAAAAAAGGAAACTGAGGCATAGTAGGAAGAGTTAGTGAGCTACTCATCTCCTAGAAGAGAGTGAAGACAAAAAGTCCAACCATGACTGTAGAATTACCTTTCAGTATTCCCCCCGTGTCTTATCTATTTAGGGCTGATATAAAGGAGTAGCTAAGGCTGAGTAATTTATATATATACATATATATATATGTATGTATATATACACACACAAAGTATACACATTCATATACATATGTGTATACATATATATAAACAGGTTTATTTGGCTCATGGTTCTACAGGCTGTACAGGAAGCATCACTCCAGCACCTGCATGTGCTGAGGGCCCCAGATACTTCTATTCATGGTGGAAGGTGAAAGGGAGTTTGTATGTAGAGATCCATGTTGATAGTGGAAGCAATAGAAAGAGGGTAGGGAGGTGCCAGGCCCTTTATAACTATCAGGTCTCTCAGGAACTAAAAGATCAAGAACTCACTCATTATCATGAGAATGGTACCAAGTCATTCATGAGGGATCCACTCCCACAACCCAAAAAACTACCATTAGGTCACCATCTTTAATATTGGAGATCAAATTTCCATATGAGATTTGGAGGAGTAAAACAAATAATATCCAAACTATAGCAATCCCCATCTCTAACTTTGTCTCCTCATGTACCCAAACTGGATGTTGCCAGTATGGGTGGACAGAAGGGTATCATCTGAGCTTTGCTGGTGATACTCACCATTTTTCTTCCCAGCCAGCTTGTTCATCAGGTAGGACTTGCCTGTGCGGGAGAGGCCCACGATAGCCACCACCACCACAGGCTGGGTAATGGCAGACAGGGTCTTCAAAGCTTCCTGATTAGCTGCCAGTTGCCCTTTAGTGTTCTCAATGAGACACACTGGGCCTGGCATGTGGATTGCTGAAGCCATGTCCAGGGTGTTCCCTTGACTGCAAGAGAAGAGGTGGAATAGATTGAATTTCCAGTCTTTTGCATTCAAAAGGTGGAGTCTTATGATTTTCCAGCATAGCCTAAAAATTCTTTGTGTGTCACCAAGATAAATAATGGAAAACCTGCATCATTGTAGAATGTTAAGAGAAGTATTATTAAAGTAGTTCATTACAAGAATTTTGGAATAACAGTGACTAACATTCAATTATTCTCATGACCCAAATGTTTATTTTATTTTTTGTGGAAAACTTTTCTTTTGCATTGGTATTAAAAATTTATATTACATAGCAAATGGAAAATATAATATAGTTTATTTATAGAATGTATTTTGCCTACTGGGTATATGTAAAATTTAATAGATATTTATATTTATATTGAATAAAGATACTGATGAATAAATTTTTCATTGTTTGATGTATGTATGCCCTATGGAAAATTTCCAAAGATTTTTTGTTACTTGCAAAATGGAGATCGCTTTTTATTTATTTATGTATTTCATTTTAATTTTTATTAAACAAAAGGCATTGGGTCCGAGTTAATTTGTTATTTTCATTTTAAACTTTGAATCCCTAATTTGAAAGTAGGTCTTTTTGAGCTATAACTTATACACTATAAAATTTACTCTTTATAGTTTTATGAATTTTGATAAATGCATATAATTGTGTAACAACAACCATAATCAAGAAATAGAACAGTTTCATCACATCAGAATATTCTGTCTCTCATGGCCCTTTTTTATTAATCTGTCTCCCTGTGATGAGTCCTTGGTAATCACCAATCCATTTTTGTTCCTAAAAGTTTTCTTTTCCAGAAATTCATATAAATAGAATCAAATGGAAAATTTTGAGTTTTCTTTTTGCTTAGCATAACGCAACTGAGATTCACCCATATTGTTGTATGAATAGTTTTGTTTCCTTTTAGTGCCAAGCAGTCTTCCATTGTGTGGATGTACCACACTTTGTTTACATATTCACCAGGTGATGAACATTTGGATTGTGTCCAGGTTTTGGTGTTTATGAATAAAACCACTATAAATGTTCACGTAACAGCTGTTGTGTGCACATAGGTTCTTATTTCTTTGGAGTAAATGTGAAGGAATGGGAATATGTCATTGGTATGTATATGTTTAACTATACTTAAAAACCTCCTGTTTTTTCAAAGTGATTTTATTATTTTGTATTCCCAACAGCAACGATGGAGTTCTAGTAGTTCTGCATTATCATATAGTCCTGTAGTTTTTGTTTTTTTAAAGTGTGTGTGTGTGTGTGTGTTTGTGTGTGTGTGTGTGTGTGACAGAGAAAGAGAAAGAGAGAGAGGAGGAGGAGTAGCAGTAGTAGTAATAATACTGGAAGTAAACTGTTGTAATTTGAGATTTCCATTTGTCTAAGACTAACACTATGAAGTATCATCCTATGCTTATTGAGTATCCATATATCTTCTTTGTTGAAGTATCTCTTTAGATCTTTTGCCCATTTGAAAAATTGCATCATTTGTATCTTGAGTTTTGAGAATTCTTTGTATCTTTTAGATTAAGCTGTTCATCAGATGCATGCTCTGCAAATATTTTATCCTAGGCTATGGTTCGTTTTTTCATATTGATGTATAAGTCCAATTGATCAATTATTTCTTACATGGATCATGGTTTTAATATCATCTCTAAAATGTCTTTGCCTAGACTAGGTCACACACATGCAGAAGAACGAATCAAGATCCCTATCTTTCTGTATGCAAAAATTAACACAAAGTGGATTAAAGACTTAGATGTAAGACATGAAAACATAAAAATTCTAGAACACTTGGCAATGTCTGGAGAAATTTGGTTATCTCAGAACTTGGATGCTCCTTCTGGCATTAAGTGAATAGAGGCCAAGGATTCGGATAAACATTTACAGTGCACAGTATAGCATTCAAACAAAGAATTAGCCGGCTAAAACATTAATAGTGGCCAGATTGAGAAAGCCAGCTCTAAGCTACAGTAATCAAGACTGTGTGGCATTGGTAAAAGGATAGATTCATAGATCAATGGAACATACATATACTGACATATATGTGGTCAATTGATTTTCAACCAAGATGCACAGGTTGAATGAAGAATGGATAGATCCTTCAATAAATGGTGCTAGGACAGCAAGACATCACTATGCAAAAATACAATAATATTAAGCAATGACCTTGACCTATAATTCACATTCATATGTAAAAATTCACTGAAAATTGATTCTAAACCTAAATGTAAAGCCTATAATAAAAAAATATGTAAAGGAAAATGTAGGAGAAACTCTTTGTGACCTAGTCCAGAGATTTTAAATGTGTTCCCTCTTCCACCCTTAACTAGTTATGCTTATATCACTGAAATGAAGATCCACACAACTTCTCACATTACCATTTTGGAATGGAACCAACATAACCTCTTTTTGCAAATTGTATAAAAGTATGTGACCATCTGAAATATATTGCTGGGGACCTTTCTAAAGCCTTGGAAGGGGCACTTGCAAGAGAGGAGGCCTGAAACATGAGCTCCATTGGCTTCACAGTAAATAAACCTCTAAGTCAGTGTGGTATGAGTGCACAATGGCAAATACTGAATGTTGCCAAAAAGACTATGAAATAGGTATTTAAAATCAGGAGACAGATCCAGAGAGCTGGATGGAAGTTGTTTAAAGAGACGATCTCTATTTCCACCTATGCAATTTTAGATTTTCTATTGTGTTCTGTTTTTCCATTTGTTGGAGAAGGAGAGGTAGAAATAGAAGGAGGAGGAGGAAAGGGAGTGGGGAGGAGGAGGAGAGAAAGGTCCAGATGAATGAGGCTGGTGCCTTGCCAAGGCATTCAGGGGAAGAATTTCCAGAAGGTGGATTAAGGTTGTCTGAGGACATGGAAAGGCCAAGATAAACAAAGATGTTCCCCTTACTGAGGCTGTATAGGAAATTCTTTAGAGAAGAAGCCCTTTAGTAAAGTAGTGAGAAGGAATTCTACTTGCACAGGGAGGGGGAGAGTGGGCATTAAATGAATGAGTCTGCACTTTTTCTGAAGGAAGAAACCCACTCTGAAACAAAGTTTAAATATATGGTTTAAAAGTGTGCTGCTTTCCTGAATCTTCAGCCTTCACTGTGGGTTTCAGTTTGTTCCCTCTTTGTCTTTGACAGTGTCAGTGGGGGCTGCTTGGCCTGCATCTCATTCAGTGTTCTTCCCTTCTCATGAAAAGAACCCATCTGTAGCCCTTTCAATTTCTTAGCTGCAGTAGCAGCGGGACAGAACAAACCTCATCAATGACAATGGAAGTTTAATGTTGTCTCCAGTCTACACAGACAATGTCAGCAGACAGAAAAGCAATCCCAGTGCATTTCAAACCCAGTTTATCCCCTGTCTGCTGGTGGCTAACTCAACACAAGCACAGTAGTGGCACTTAGGGACGTGCTGCCCCATAACATCAGGATTTCAGCTGACCTGTGTCCTACCTCAGGCTCAGTCTAATCTGGTTGTGGTCATTTTTAAGAACTAACTGAACCATGTAAATCCCTTCCCAGCCCTGCCCCAACCTTATAGGCTCCATGTCCCTGAGCAGAGGCCCTTTACAGGTGCAGAGATAGCTGCTTTGATGAAGAGTAGTAAAAGTTCTTACCTGTTTTCTTTCCTCAGTTCGGAGGGAGTGATTTCTCGCACTTCTCTGACTCTGACTGGATCCTTGGACCTTTATTTCACCCCTCAATGTCATGGGATATTTTGGATGTCTGCCAATGTCAAAATAATTACAAGTAAGCAAGCTCTGCATGGGATTTACAGCAATGAGAAACTGAAAGTACTTTGTCCCAGGCAGTAAGTCAAGAAACCATAAAAGGAATCTCTAGAGCTGTGTTTAGTGGGAGAGTTAAAATGATTTCTCAAACAAAAGGTTCAGAGATTTTATTTAATGAGATCTTGGAGATCATTTGCTGGTTAAAAAATGTCCATTAGATATTGAATATAATGGAATGTATCTAAAGATTGGGGGTCAGTGTGAGAATCTTAGAATGAGGAGGCCTTACATATTTGAGGTTTAATTTCTAAAATAAAGAACACACTCAAAATAGACCTGGTCATTCATGTAGAGATGATGCAAGTGAGAGAAACAGCACGTCCTACACATTCGTGAAAACTGAGCACCCAACCCAGCACCCGGCACATAATGCCCAGTACACAGTCAGCACGCAGCTCTATATATTGTACACCTGTTCCAGCCTCAATGCAAACTGCTATTATCTTGGTTACTCAGCTTGTGTCTCATAAGTATTTCCCCATCATTGTCTACAAAACAAGGCAGAGATAGATGTTATCAGTTGTCCAAAATCATAACACTGCAAGTGATATGAAACCAGTCTCAACCACCTCTGTATACTGCCTCACTCTGTTTGCTGAGTGAATAATTATAAAAATAATGACTTCCAATTACTGATTATTTTCCAACAGCTACATATGTTACCTGTTTAATTCAGTTCTGATTAAAATCATGCAAAAGAGATGGCATTGTATCTATTTTACAGTGAAGACAAGAAGGATGGGGTAGGGTGAGAATATCCCTGCCCAAATTCACTAAGCAAGTCATAAAGTTGGGATGCAAATTTTCAACTTTCTTTAACTTTAAACTTTATGCTCTTCTTTCCTCTCCTCATTTCTCCTGTAAGGAAAGAAGACAAAAGAGAGGAGAAAGGGAGGTTTTATCTGCTGATCCTGCTATACTCTGTTTTTTTTTTTTTTTTTTGAAACAGGATCTTACTCTGTCACCCTGACTAGAGTGCAGTGGTGTCATGCTAGCTCACTGCAACCTGAAACTCCTGGGCTCAAGAGATCCATCTGACTCAGCATCCTGAATAGCTAGGACTGCAGGTGTGAGACACCACACATGGCTAATTTTTTCTATTTTTAGCCGTGACAGAGTCTTGTATATTGTGGTCTTGTTCCACACTTAGAAGACAGTGTCTGAACTTTGACAAATGAAGATGTACACTCTCTTTTCTTTTAGTCTTTTTCAATATCATTTTA